TTGTATGTATATATAATGTGTATATACATATGTGTGTGTGTGTGTGTGTGTATATATATATATGTATGTATATGTATAATGTTTTTAATGTTTATTTCATTTATTTTGAGAGAGAGGGAGAGTGCAAGCAGGGGAGGGACAGAGATAGGAGAGAGAGAGAGAATCCGAAGCAGGCTCCGTGTCATAAGCACAGAGCCTAATGAAGGCAGGGCTCAGACTCACTGGAACTGTGGCATCATGACCTGAGCCGAAGTCCAGAGCCGGACACTTAACCAACTGAGCCACCCAGGCATCCCCGAGAATATGTATTTTTATAACTAAATGTGGGCCAGTATCCCAACTACAGACGATTTCAAGGGTATTGGTGGTGACAATGGTGATCAAGGTTTAGGCGCAGTTCATCTAAAACTCTATCGTTTACTGAGTAATACAGGATAGATTACTAAACGTCTCTGAGCTTTTGCCTCCTTATTCATACAATGGCGATAAAATGCAAATCTCTCACCATTGTTCCAGGGATGAAATTTAAAGCACCCTCAATAGAGTCTCAATGTAAGCAAATTCTTTTTCCAGCAAGATTTGATTAAAACAAAACAAAACAAAACAAAAGAAACCCTTAAAAACCCCAAACCAACAATTCTCAACCTTGTGCGTACCTTCTTAAAACAGCTCTTTCCTAGGCTTTGCCCAGCTTTTAGTGTAAGGGGCCAGTGCCTTGGTACTGTGTGCCAGGGAGCTGGAGGAGGGGTCGACACAGGGTCAGAGGGAAGACCAGATAATTGAAAGGGTAATTCTCAGGTCATGATGTTTCCAGGAAGTTATCGACAAAATAAAGCTAAGAGACTTTTAAGCATTTACGGGCTTGGTTGTTTCCTTGCTACAAATTGATTAATCGTCTCCTTTGCCTCAGTAGGGTAGGTGGGAGCACTGCTTTTAGATTGCTTTGAAAAGACTTCCCCGGTTTCAGAAATGCCATAGGTTGTGGAAGTGATGTTGAAAGAAGTGAATTCTGCCTTTGTAGACTAGCAACTTGCCCTACCTCGAGGCGAAAGATACACTAGAGCTTTTTTTCTTCTTAGAGTTAGCTTTAATATTCAAATCAGCTTTAACTGTTGATGGCCACATTGCCTTTATTTATTTATTTTTATTTTTGAGTGAGAGAGTGCAAGCAGGGAAGGGGGCGAGGGAGAGGGAGAGAGAATCCTAGGTAGGCTCCACGCTCAGTGAAGAGCCTGACGTGGGGCTCGCCCTCACGGCTGTGAGATCACGACCTGAGCCGAAATCAAGAGTCAGATGCTTAACCGACTGAACCACCCAGGCGCCCTTTATCTTGCCTTTGATTTTCAGAGTGGAATGGAGAGACACCAGGCAGCATCATCCTTTTTGTAGATTAGTCTAGAAAGTTTGGTTTTTCATACTAGGACAGCATTGCGTGAGCTCCTGATGGGTTTGTTCAGAAAAAAAACCTATTCCTTGTTAGGAAAGAAGCAATCCCCAAATATTACAGAGTCCCCACCATGCCTAAGGCTGCATGTTAAATGCTGCAGGAGCTACAAAGGCAGGCTTCTCATTCTGAAGGCAGCACTAAAGAATTGATGGGATGTGACTGTAAGAGTTTTTCTTTCTTTTCTCTCTCTCTCCTTCCTTCCTTCCTTCCTTCCTTCCTTCCTTCCTTCCTTCCTTCCTTCCTTCCTTCCTTCCTTTCTTCCCCTTCCCCTTCTTTCCTTTTTTCCAGAGTGACTTGGCATAATGGAGTCTTTCCAAAGCACTCAGTTCTCATTGATAAAGCTCTTTGTTTTTACCTGGGCATATTTTGTATGACATTAGATATAATCACATACGATAAACTTTACCCTTTAAAAATTTTTTTAATGTTTATTTTTTGAGAGCGTGGGCGGGGGACGGACACAGAGAGAGAGGGACACACAGACTCCGAAGCAGGCTCCAGGCTCTGAGCTGTCAGCACAGAGCCTGACAAAGGGCTCAAAGTCACGAACCGCGAGATCGTGACCTGAGCTGAAGTCGGACGCTTAACTGACTGAGCCACCCAGGCACCCCTAAACTTTACCCTTTTAAAGTGTACAATTCGTAGCTTTAGTAAATCCACCATAGCTAAGTCCAGAACATTTTCGTTACTCCCCAAAGAAACTATCCATCAACGGTTACTCCCCATTTCCCCCTGTTGGTAGCCCCCAGCGGCCACCACGCTACTGTCTGTTTCTGTAATTGGCCTATTCAGACTCCTTTCACTTACCATGATGTTTTCAAGATCCCTCCATGTTGCAGCCCGTATCAACACTTTGTTGCTTTTGTTGCTGAATGAAAGTCTATGTATATTACCACATGGTGTTTATCCGTTTCATCAACCTGATGGGCGTTTTTCTCCTTTTTGGCTATTAGGCCTTTTTCCCATGTTTAATTTTTTAAACTAACAGAATGTAATTTTTGGAACAGTTTTAGATTTACAGGAAAAGTGAACAGACAGCACAAGATAAAAGTGCAGGTGGTTCAAGTTCCCATATTCCACCCCCCCCCCACATACACACATTCAGTTAATATCTTACAGTACTATGGCACATTTGTTACAATTAGTGGACTGATATTGATACATTATTATTAACCAAAGTCTGTAGTTTATTCACATAGCCTTATTCAGGCAGCCTGTTCAGATGGCCTGTCATTTTTCTGTTCCAGGATGCTGTCCGTCATTTTTCTGTTTGGATGCTGTCATTTTTGTCTTCCAGGATGCCGCCCCAGACTCCACACTGCAGTTACCTGTCACGTCTGTCTGTAGAGTCCTCTGGGCTTGGACTGTCCTCGTTTTGGTGACCTTGATAGTTTTGAGGATGGTTCTGGTCAGGGACACAGGATGCTCCTCTATCAGAATTTGTCTGTTTTTCTCCTGATCACATGGGCTCCGGGCAGCATGATCACAGAGTGATATTTTTATCACATCACATTACGGCATATGTCAAAGGGTTTATGACTATTGATGTAAACACTGGTCACCTGATGACCTGGCTGAAGTGTTTGTGACCCTTCTCCACTTGTAATGATCTTTGGAAGGAAGATATCTTTGGAAGGATCTGTATCTTTAGAAGGAAACCAGTCTGCACTGCCTGCGGTAAAAGAGTGAGGAATTCTTCTGCCCCCGGCCCTGTTTAATATTTTGGAGCGTTTTTGGTTTTTTTGTTTTTTTTTTTTGTTTGTTTGTTTTTAAAGCAGGTTCTATGCCCAACGTGCGGTTTGAACTCAGGACCCTAGGTTTAAGACTTGCATGCTCTACCAACAGAGCCAGCCAAGCATCCCTCTTTCCTCCCATTTATTATTTTACTCATTTAGTTTTTAGCAGTATGGATACACACACGAATATTTATTTTATGCTTTGGGTTGTAATCTAACCCTACTTGCTGGAGTGGCCCCAGCTTTCACGACAGGGGACTTTCACTTGTCTCCTATGCCCCCTTGACATACCTCCGTCAATGGAGATTCTTTTGTTTTTGTTTCCCAAGCCTTTACTTTTCTCCTTTCATTTTTAAATAACCCAAATCCCCATAGATGTTGACTTTAGGAAAACTAACAATACTCCCTTCCCAGGTCACAGGATTCCTCTGCAGCCTGCAGAAATGTGCTTTACCTGCAGGGGGTTGACGGGGAAGCAGCTGGGAGTCTGAGGTTGGATAAGACACCTGTCAAGGCCCTCCCTGAGCTTGGTTTAGTCATCCCCCAAGTAGTAACTGGTGAACCTGGGATTCAAACACAAATCCCTGAGGCCCAAAAGCTCCATCATTTGTCCTTCAAGCTGCATATGACGGCGAAGGCGAGAATCTCAGGAGTAGAGCACAAGCTCTTAACATCCTTTAGAGAAAGCAGTTTTCAAATTTTAATCCTGAAGCGACTAGCTACTTTAAACTACTTTTTTGTTATAGTTTGCTCTTTTACCTGGCTTCTGGTTTCTGGCTGAAAGTTCATTATCATTTACAAACACTAACGGCAGATTTACTACGACCATCGGTGGCATAATATTGTGTATGTTGCATTTTTAGTAGATGCCTCCTCAAATTCTTTTCCCAAATAGGTGGCTATTACGTTATGAACAGCCAGTTGCTCAGTATTTCACCCCAAGATCCCTATTTATATAACACACATGAAGTTAATTCCACCGGACCATGACTCTGGTCGCTGAGCGTAAGATTTAAATGAAGCCAGTCTAGAAATCACCACTTCCAAGGATGTCAGGTGAGCGAAACAGACTTTCTGCCACATCCCTGTTCTCCAGGGTGGGGAGTGCCGACCTAGTGATTTAGGTAAAGGCCCCGCACCTCTCCCTTGGCCTTGTTGTTATTATTATTAATGTTTTGTTAAGTAGGCTCCATGCCCAGTGTGGGGCTTGAATTCACAGCCCCGAGATCGAGTTGGGTGCTACGCTGATCAGGCCACCCAGGTGCCCCTGTTTTAATTTTAATATTTATTATTATAGTAAAAGTGCTGAAGGTTGACTTTTAAAAAAGAAGAAGAGATTGAGAGATCGTCAGACTGGGTGCATCCATCCATTGGTGTTGGGAGGCTGTTTTTGTGAAAATGGGGTTTTTCACACGGGCTCTGGGCTGGTTAGAACGTGGCACAAACCACCTAATTGGTGATGGACATTTGAAAAACAATTGTGTCAGTGGTCACTTGTTTTACGAAGCCCAATTTAGGTGCAGAAGTCTATCTACCCAAGGGTGTGACATCAAACGTATTTTATCCTGTGGTTAAGGGTTCGAAGAAGCTCGAGAAGCGCTGATGCCCAGGGACTTCTCTTTAGCTCTTCTGCTTTCCTTCTACCCCGAACTTCCACAACTTAACGCCCGGATGTTTCAGCCTTTTCTGGAAACCTCAGTTGGGCAGTTAAGGAGGGAAGTAGAAGGGACCGTGCAACCCTCCCTCGCATTCCCCTGAGTTCGTGGATATAGTCAAGAATGCTTAAGACTTAAGAATGGTTCAGCTCATCATTCGGGATGAGCACGGACTCCACCTATGAAAATGGGTGAATAACCGGCTGTGAACCCCGAACACATACTGTTAGGCTTTTCTTACAAACACCGTAGACATTTAGTGCCACCCCCCCCCCACTTTCTATCCTCCAGGGGAGAGGCCCGAATATCGAAGTGGCCACAGATTGTTGGGTGTCCTGTTGTCCTGCCTCTTCTATTTGCACGGTTTTCAACGCGCTTTCACCGCGCATCTTCCTGGGTGGCCGCTGGGTGTCAGGAGAAGGAGGGGGCTGGAGGCTCCTGCCCTGTTGGGTAACGCGCAGTGAACCCTCATCATTGGACTGCGTGCGTCCGGAACAAGCGGGGGAGCGCTGGGAGGTAGGGGAGGGGGGGG